AGTCCCAATCCTATTCGGTATATACCACTACAATTACCAACTAGTCCCCTTCCTGTCCTGTACATACCACTTCAATTAGACACTAGTCCCAATCCTGTCCGGTATATACCACTACCATTATACACTAGTCCCTTTCCTGTCCTGTATATACCACTACAATTACCAACTTGTCCCCATCCTGTCCTGTACATACCACTTCAATTAGACCTTAGTCCCAATCCTGTCCGGTATATACCATTACAATTAGACACTAGTCCCCATCCTGTCCTGTATATACCACTACAATTACCAACCTGTCCCCATCCTGTCATGTATATACCACTACAATTACCAACTAGTCCCCTTTCTGTCCTGTACATACCACTTCAATTAGACACTAGTCCCAATCCTGTTCGGTATATACCATTACAATTAGACACTAGTCCCCTTCCTGTCCTGTATATACTACTACAATTACCAACTAGTCCCCTTCCTGTACTGTGTATACCACTACAATTACCCACTAGTCCCCTTCCTGTCCTCTATATACCACTTCAATAAGACACTTGTCCCAATCCTGTTCGGTATATACCACTACAATTACCAACTTGTCCCCATCCTGTCCTGTATATACAACTACAATTACCAACTAGTCCCTTCCTGTCCTGTATATACCACTTCAATTAGACACTAGTCCCCTTTCTGTCCTGTATATCCTACTACAATTACCAATTAGTCCCTTCCTGTCCTGCATATACCACTACAATTAGACACGAGTCGCCTTCCTGTCCTGTACATACTACTACAATTACCAACTAGTCCCGTTCCTGTACGGTGTATACCATTACAATTACAAACTAGTCCCTTTCCTGTACTGTGTATACCATTACAATTACCAACTTGTCCCCTTCCTGTCCTGTAACCACTACAATTACCAACTAGTCCCGTTCCTGTACGGTGTATACCATTACAATTACCAACTAGTCCCGTTCCTGTACGGTGTATACCATTACAATTAGACACTAGTCCCCATCCTGTCCTGTATATCCCACTACAATTACCAACTTGTCCCTATCCTGTCCTGAATATACCACTACAATTACCAATTAGTCCCTTCCTGTCCTGTATATACCACTACAATTAGACACGAGTCCCCTTCCTGTCCTGTACATACTACTACAATTACCAACTAGTCCCCTTCCTGTACTGTGTATACCACTACAATTACCAACTAGTCCCCTTCCTGTCCTGTATATACCCTGTCAATTACCAACTAGTCCCTTCCTGTACTGTGTATACCACAACAATTAGACACTAGTCCCCATCCTGTCCTGTATATACCACTACAATTAGACACTAGTCCCCGTCCTGTCCTGTATATACCCTGACAATTACCAACTAGTCCCCTTCCTGTACTTTGTATACCACTACAATTACCTTCTAGTCCCCTTCCTGTTCGGTATATACCACTACAATTACCTACTAGTCCCCTTCCTGTCCTGTATACACCACTACAATTACCTACTAGTCCCCTTCCTGTTCGGTATATACCATAACAATTACCAACTAGTCCCCATCCTGTCCTGTATATACCATTACAATTACCAACTAGTCTCCTTCCTGTACTGTGTATACCCCTACAATTACCAACTAGTCCCCTTCCTGTCCTGTTTATACCACTACAATTACCAACTAGTTCCCTTCCTGTACTGTGTACACCATTACAATTAGACACTAGTCCTCCTGTCCTGTATATACCACTACAATTACCAACTAGTCCCCTTCCTGTCCTGTATATACCACTACAATTACCAACTAGTCCCCATCTTGTCCGGTATATACCACTACAATTACCAACTAGTCCCCTTCCTGTCCTGTATATACCCTTACAATTACCAACTAGTCCCCTTCCTGTACTGTGTATACACTTACAATTATACACTAGTCGTCCCCTGTCCTGTATATACCCTTACAAGTATACACTAGTCCTCCTCCTGTCCTGTATATACCCTAATAATTTTACACTTGTCCCCATCCTGTCCTGTGTATACCCTTACAATTATACACTAGTCGTTCCCTGTCCTGTATATACCCTAACATTATACACTAGTTACCTTTACGCAGATTGGTTATTATCCCCGAATCCGGGTTTTTATTCCAAGAACGAAAGTATTGTTTAGAAAACGTTCAGTCCAATATTGGCATTTAGGAAAAGTTCAAAGTGTACTTCTGATGTAAATTCCTATTAGGCGGTTCCAATGATTAATTTAACAGTGAGAGGCGATAGGTCGTAGTGAAATATCACTGGTGTGTTCGATGAAGCTACTAACACCCGTTAATGACGGCCGGAAACTTACAACACAGCTTTAACAATCGAATGCAATTTAAAGACTATTACATATAGTCTAAACATCTGCATAACAATTCTCCAATTTATCGACTATTTTTTTTAAAGGATGTCTTGGACAGATAATGCTGCGGTATGTGTAAAGGCCTTACAAGCAACCGGTCAAATATAGTTATATAGTGGACACGTTGTCATATATTCAGGTCATAGGTGAGATCTTTGTAATCAAAGTTACTGGACAATTGTGTGAGGATGTGTGAGAGTAGACAAGGTTACTGGTAATATAGTCCGATTTTGGAGAACAAGTGTGTATCATCGAGGGTACTGGACGTATTTGTATGTAGTCAAGGTTAGGGGACAGGTGTGTGTAGTCAAGGTTACTGGATATTTGTATGTAGTCAAGGTTAGAGGACAGGTGTGTACAGTCAAGGTTACTGGATATGTGTATGTTGTCAAGATTAGAGGACAGGTGTGAATAGTCAAGGTTACTGGATATGTGTATGTTGTCAAGGTTAGAGGACAGGTGTGTATAGTCAATGCTACTGGACATGTTTGTGTAGTCAGGTAACTGGACAGTTGTGTGTAGTCTAGATTAGAGGACAGGTGTGTATAGTCAAGGTTAACGGATGTGTATCTTTAGTCAATATTACTGGACAGTTGTGTGTAGGCAAGGTTACTGGACAAGTGTGCGTAGTCAAGGTTGGAGGACACTAGGGCAGGTGTGTATAGTCAAGGTCACTCGACAGTTGTACGTAGTCAAGTTCATAGGATGGTGTAGGTTATCAATTTTCTAGACAGTTGTATGTAGTCAAGGTAACTCGACAGTTGTAGGTAATCAAGGTATCTATACAGTTGTGTGTGGTCAAGGTTACTGGACAGTTGTTTGTGGTCAAGGTTATTGGACAGTTGTGTGTGGTCAAGGTTACTGGACAGTTGTGTGTGGTCAAGGTTACTGGACAGTTGTGTGTGGTCAAGGTTACTCGACAGTTTTGTGTGGGCAAGGTTACTGGACAGTTGTGTGTAGTCAAAGTCACCCGACAGTTGTGTGTAGTCAAAGTTACTCGACAGTTGTGTGTAGTCAAGGTTACTGGACAGTTGTGTGTAGTCAATGTTACTGGACAGTTGTGTGTAGTCAAGGTTACTCGACAAATGTGTGTAGTCAAGGTTACTGGACAGTTGTGTGTAGTCAAGGTTACTCGACAAATGTGTGTAGTCAAGGTTACTGGACAGTTGTGTGTAGTCAAAGTTACTGGACAGTTGTGTGTAGTCAATGTTACTGAACAGTTTTGTGTAGTCAAGGTTACTCGACAGTTGCGTGTAGTCAAGGTTACTCGACAGTTGCGTGTAATCAAAGTTACTGGACAGTTGTGTGTAGTCAATGTTACTGGACAGTTGTGTGTAGTCAAGGTTACTGGACAGTTGGGTGGAGTCAAGGTTACTGGACAGTTGTGTGTAGTCAAAGTTACCCAACAGTTGTGTGTAGTCAAAGTTACCCGACAGTTGTGTGTAGTCAAGGTTACTCGACAGTTGCGTGTAGTCAAGGTTACTGGACAGTTGCGTGTAGTCAAGGTTACTCGACAGTTCTGTGTAGTCAATGTTACTGGACAGTTGTGTGTAGTCAAGGTTACTGGACAGTTGTGTTTAGTCAAGGTTACTGGACAGTTGTGTGTAGTCAAAGTTACCCAACAGTTGTGTGTAGTCAATGTTACTCGACAGTTGTGTGTAGTCAAGGTTTCTCGACATTTGTGTTCAAGGTTTGTGTAGTCAAGGTTACTGGACAGTTGTGTGTAGTCAAGGTTACTGGACAGTTGTGTGTAGTCAAGGTTACCCGCCAGTTGTGTGTAGTCAAGGTTACTGGACAGTTGTGTGTAGTCAACGTTACTCGACAGGTGTATGTAGTCAAGGTTACTCGACAGTTGTGTGTAGTCAAAGTTACCCGACAGTTGTGTGTAGTCAAAGTTACCCGATAGTTGTGTGCAGTCAAGGTTACTCGACAGTTGTGTGTAGTCAAGATAACTCGACAGTTATGTGTAGTCAAGGTTACCCGACAGTTGTGTGTAGTCAAAGTTACCCGACAGTTGTGTGTAGTCAAAGTTACCCGACAGTTGTGTGTAGCCAAAGTAACCCGACAGTTGTGTGTAGTCAAAGTTACCCGACAGTTGTGTGTAGTCAAAGTTACCCGACAGTTGTGTGTAGTCAAGATAACTCGACAGTTGTGTGTAGTCAATGTTACCCGACAGTTGTGTGTAGTCAAGGTTGCTCGACATTTGTAGGTAGTCAAGGTTACTTGGTAGTTGTGTGTATTAAAGTTGCTCAACAGTTGTGTTTAGTCAAAGTGACTCGACAGTTGTGTGTAGTCAATGTTACTGAACAACTGTGTGTAAACAGAATAAGCAGTTGTGTATATATTCAAGGTTTGTGTAGTCAAGGCTACTGGACAGGTGTGTATAGTCAAGGTTACTGGACAGATGCATGTAGTCAAGGTTACTGAGCATACGTGTGTAGTTAAGTTTACACGACGGTTGTGTATAGTCAAGCTTACTGGACAGGTGTGTGTAGTCAAGGCTACTCGACAATTGTATGTAGTCAAGGTTTACTCTACAGATGTGCGTAGTCAAGGTTACTGAACATATGTTTGTAGTCAAGGTTACTGGACAGTGGTGTTAAGTGAAGGTTACTCGACGGTTTCAGGTAGCCAAGGAAAGATTTGTATGTTGTCAAGGTTATTAGACAGGTGTGTGTAGTCAAGGCTATTGGACAGGTCTATGTGGTTCATGTTACTGGACAGGTGTATGTAGTCAATATTACTGGACAGGTGTATGTAGTCAATGTTTCTGGACAGGTGTATGTAGTCAATTTTACTGGACAGGTGTATGTAGTCAATATTACTGGACAGGTGTATGTAGTCAACATTACTGGACAAGTGTATGTAGTCAATGTTACTGGACAAGTGTATATAGTCAATGTTACTGGACAGGTGTATGTAGTCAATGTTACTGAACAAGTGTTTGCTGCCATGGTTACTGGACAGGTGTATATAGTCAATATTACTGGACAAGTGTATGTAGTGAGTGTTAGTAGGCAGGTGTATGTAATAAATGTTAAAGAACAAGTGTATGTTGCCATGGTTACTGGACAGGTCTATGTGGTTCATGTTACTGGACAGGTGTATGTTGTCATGGTTACTGGGCAAGTTTATATAGTCAATGTTACTGGACAAGTGTATATAGTCAATGCTACTGGACAAGTGTATGAAGTCAATGTTCCTGGATAAATGTATGTAGTCAATGTTACTGACTAAGTGTATGTTACCATGGTTATTGGACAGGTGTATGAAGTCAAGGTTACTGAACAAGTGTATGTTGCCATGGTTACTGGACAGGTGTGTGTAGTCAATGTTACTGGACAAGTGTATGTAGTCAATGTTCCTGGACAGGTGTATGTAGTCAATGTTACTGAACAAGTGTATGTTGCCATGGTTACTGGACAGGTGTATGTAGTCAAGATAACTGGACAGGTGTGTGTACTCAAGGCTACTGAACAGGTCTATGTGGTTCATGTTACTGGACAGGTGTATGTAGTCAATATTACTTGACAAGTATATGTAGTCAGTGTAACTGAACAAGTGTATGTTGCCATGGTTACTGGACAGGTCTATGTGGTTCATGTTACTGGACAGGTGTATGTAGTCAATATTACTGGACAGTATGTAATCATTATTACTGGACATGTGTATGTAGTCAATATTACTGGACAGGTGTATGTAGTCAGTGTTACTGGACAAGTGTATGTAGTAAGTGTTAGTAGGCAGGTGTATGTAATAAATGTTAAAGAACAAGTGTATGTTGCCATGGTTACTGGACAGGTCTATGTGGTTCATGTTACTGGACAGATGTATGTAGTCAATGTTACTAAACAGGTGTGTGTAGTCAATGTTACTAAACAGGTGTGTGTAGTCAAGGTTACTAAACAGGTGTGTGTAGTCAAGGTTACTGGACAGGTGTGTGTAGTCAAGGTTACTAGACAGGTGTGTGAAGTTCATGTTGCTGGACAGAAGTATGTAGTCAAGGTTACTGGACAGGTGTATGTAGTCACGGTTACTGGACAGGTGTATGTAGTCAAGGTTACGGGACAGGTGTATGTAGTCAAGGTTACTGGGCAGGTGTATGTAGTCAAGGTTACTGGACAGGAGTGTGTAGTCAAGGTTACTGGACAGGTGTATGTAGTCACGGTTACTGGACAGGTGTATGTAGTCAAGGTTACGGGACAGGTGTATGTAGTCAAGGTTACTGGACAGGTGTGTGTAGTCAAGGTTACTGGACAGGTGTGTGAAATTCATGTTGCTGGACATAAGTATGTAGTCAAAGTTACTGGACAGGTGTGTGAAATCATGTTACTGGACAGGTGTGTGAAATTCATGTTACTGGCAGGCGCGTAGCTAGCCCCTTTACTATGTGAAAGCCCGACGTGGGGTTGCCGAAGGCAGATCCACCCGAAGCGCGTAGCGCGAGCAGGGGGAGGGTACGGGAGGGTGTCTTCCCCCTCCCGTAAGGGCGGTCTAGGGGGTCTCCCCCATGAAAATTCTGTTTTCAGGAGCCATTTCCCACGTCCTGATGTCTGTTGTCTGGTTTAAATCCGCAAGAAAAAAGTCCTATTTTTTGTGTTTATATATACCTATTTAGTGTAATTCTGAATATTAACCGTCGGTATTGCTTTGTACACCCTCCATACATACATTGTCTGTTTTTTACCTAATCTTGATAAATGCATTTGATACAATAGTGAACATGCAATTGGGTTTGTATTTCTCATAATCTGATCCGAGTTAATTGGGAAGCGAGGTTACCCCACTGTCACCTTTACTCAGTCTCCCACACAGTTTCGTCTTCTGTTTGTGCTTTGTGACTGGTTCCTTATACTTGCTCCTGTTATTTGTTGGGCATTTCGAGAAGCGAGGTTGCACCTACTATTAACGTCATGCCCAGCTTTGCAGTCTCCGACACCGTTTCGTCTTCTGGTTTCATAAACATGTTTGTGGACATGGAAGAAAATTAAATTTTAGTTTTATATACGTCCATTATAGAAGGTATTATTATGCGCGATCTGACAAAGTAAAAAAATACAAAGCACCGTGATTTTTTGAAATTCTGTTGTGTTGCAATTGGGCAGGCTCCAAAAGACAGTTTTCGTCATTTAAAAAAAACCGTCATGAAAACCTGTACTTGTCAAAATCATGTGCAAGCCCGGGCTTATTGGCGTACATGGTAGCTACGCGCCTGACCGGACAGATGTTTGTTGTCAAGGTTACTGGGCATTTGTGTGAAATTCATGTTACTGGACAGGTTTGTGTAGTCAAGGTTACTGGGCATTTGTGTGAAATTCATGTTACTGGACAGGTTTGTGTAGTCCAGGTTACCGGATAGGTGTGTGTAGTCAAGGGTACTGGACAGGTGTGTGAAATTCATGTCGCTGGACAGTTGTACGTAGTCAAGGTTATTGGACAGGTGTGCATAGTCAAGGATACTGGACAGGTGTATGTAGTGAAGGGTATTGGACAGGTGTGTAAAATTCATGTTACGGGACAGATGTATGTAGTCACGCTTAATGGACAAGTGTATGAAATTCATGTTACTGGACAGATGTATGTAGTCAAGGTTACTGAACAAGTTTGTGAAATTCATGTTTCTGGACAGGCGTGTGTAGTCAAGGGTACTGGACAGGTGTGTGAAATTTATGTTACTGGACAGGTGTGTGTAGTCAAGAGTACTGGATAGGTCTGTGTAGTCAAGGTCACTTAACAGAGAACTCAAATGCCAGTTCTATTTCTTTTTTAAAGTTTTATTCTAGATTGATTTTTTTTTTAAATTATGTGCCTTACTAGCGGATACGAAATGTTGAGTAATAGTGTGCTTTTTTAATTTGATTAAAACGCAGTCCTTGTGATTCACCAGCAAAGGGAATGTTATTGTTGATGTTAGAGATATTAACATACACTACCGGTATCTGTTTAGGACAGTTTTTCCTTTTCTTTCCGCGTTATATAACGTTGTGCGTAATGATGTAATTCGTTTTGACGTTGACTTCATACTCTGATGTGTATTTAACTGATGAATAGTACCAAAAGTCATTTTATTTGACCAACAGTTTCATAATGAAGCAGAATGATTTTTTTTTTAATCAGTAATGAGTTAAACTGATGCCACGTCTAGTTGTGTCACAAGGTTATGATGCATAAATACACACTCTCCGGCGGAGGTATCGACCGAGATCCGAGTGTGGTTTGGATTCCCCACATTTACGTGAAGTTACAGTGACCCAGATTATTTCACACCAATCTCCGATAAAGATACCAGGATAAACATATCAGTCTTGATTTTCAGATTTTGTAAAACTAATTTTGCTACATTTAAACAATCCATATATATTCATAAAAATGAAAACAGAGGGAAATTATAGCGCGAGACCCTTAATATGTTTACGGGGGCTATAGGGCCAGCCCCTTATATGTAAACGATTTCAGCTATTGCATATTTTTTATAACTATTATAGACTTTTGAATTCATAAATAGTTTATTGTCCAATTTGCTACAAATATTTAGGGACAATTTATTGCAACTTTTGAGGTCACTTCCTGTTAACATTTTAGTAGCAATTGATATTTAGGATAAACAATTACAAGTCATTGAGAAAAAATACCTACAGTGACTACGGACATGTATACATTACCATACTCTGTATCTATTGTATTAGTTGTTATAGCACCAGACCCCTAATAGGTATACAGGGGTTATAGCACCAGGCCCCTAATAGGTATACAGGGGTTATAGCACCAGGCCCCTAACATGTATACAGGGTTTATAGCATTTTAAAATGGCCGCCGAAAAGTTCTACAAACAACAGGTATCTAGTTTATTGACTTATTTTTCAGAGGCGTGTTTGCTATTAAACTTGCTCATAATTGGTTAAATACAGATGTGGGAACGCACAACGTTACACGATGAGCGGTGTGCGCATGGTGTGTGCACGATGTGCGAACGATACAAATCTGGACGGTTGTTGCTTGCGCACATTTTTGCGGCCGATGGACGAACGTTGTGCGATGACAATCGTGCTTGGTGTAAATTGAAGAATGGCTAAATAATATTTTACGGTTTCGTGTTTGAAAATATAAACTTGATTTTTTAAATATGTTTCTATATTTTAGCTACTTGTATAAGCTGATCTTTCTATACTTTCTTAAATTCAGAAACGGTATTTCGGTGTTTTTTAAATAACCCAAATCTACACATGTAAAATTATTACAAATATTGACACCGTGCCATATACAGGTAAACATAGCGACTTTTTACATGTACATGGACCGTAGTTTTCCCCACCCGGGGCTTACGTAACTCGACAAGGTGGGAAAATCCAGGTGAAGGGGAGCTATAGGCCAAAACGAATGCAAATAACAAACTATTAAAAAGCAAGTGGTATACTTTGATAGTTCACTGAACATAGAGAACTAAGCAAATGCTATTGCCAAATACTGTTACTACCAGATCAGGAACATCGGTTGTATTCGGCAGTTTATAACTGCAGATGCATGCAAGATTTTGGTGCATTTGGTAACGCCCTGCTCTGTGGTATATCTGACAAGACTAACTACTCGTCTGCAGAGGGTCCAGAACAATGCAACACAGTTGGTTATTCGTAATCGAAAGAGAGAGCACACCACACCTGTGCTATATTCATTACACTGGTTCCATGTACGATACAGATCGAAGTACAAAATTTTGATGTACACATACAAGAAACTGAATGGAGCAGCTCCCAAGTACCTACAGGAGCTTGTTACCCTTATCAGCCGACACAATCACTGCGGTCGGAGTCAGAATTATTGTTGTGTGTCCCAAAATCTCGTATTGTGACCTATGGTAACCAGTGTTTTGGAGGGTTTCGGCCACGTTGGAACAGCTTACCATCTGTTATTAGAAAGTCTATTACCCTGGCCAAATTCAAGAAGGACATCAAAACTCACATCTTCACGTCGGCATTTTAGGCTCTTTGCAAAGACGTCATGTAAATACCATCCTTTATTTATTCGTTTATGTGCACATTGCGATGATTATCTGCTTGCTTAATGTATAAAAGTGATTGTAAGCCTTTGTTTTTGTTTAACAGTTATAACTTATACTATTATCAATTTGTTGTAAAGCGCTTTAGAGTAATTTTACAAATTATATAGGTCGCTATATACATGTTGTATATTATAATTATCATTATTAGTAGTAGAAGTATATATAAATACTAGACTGGCCCTTTTATGTATAAATACTTAACAGTCCCTAGTATATATAAATACTAGACTGATCCTTAGTTTGTATAAATACTAGACAAATCCCTTTTATGTATAAATACTTAACAGCCCCTAGTATATATAAATACTAGACTGGCCCTTAGTTTGTATAAATACTAGACAAGTCCCTTTTATGTATAACTACTTAATAGCCCCAAGTATATATAAATACTAGACCTGACTCTTAGCCTATATAAATACTAGACTGGCCCTTAGTTTGTGTAAATACTGGACAAGTCCCATTTATGTATAAATACTTAATAGCCCAAGTATATATAAATACTAGACTGCCCCTTAGTTTGTGTAAATACTAGACCTGACCCTTTGTTTGGACAAATACTAGATCTGACCCCTATTGTGGTTAGATACTAGACAGGTCCCTAGCATATATAAATGATAGACAGGCCTTAATATGTATAAATACTACACAGGCCCTAGTACATGTATAGATACTAGACAGGCCCCTAGCATGTATAAGTACTAGACAGGCCCCTAGCATGTATAAATACAAGACAGGCCCCTAGCATGTGTAAGTACTAGACAGGCCCCTAGCATGTATAAATACTAGACAGGCACCTAGTACATGAATAAGTACTAGACAAGCCCCTAGTTTGTATAAATAGTAGACAGGCCCCTAGCATGTATAAATAGTAGACAGGTCCCTAGCATGTATAAATACTAGACAGGCCCCTAGTACATGTATAGATCCTAGACAGGCCCCAAGTTCATGTATAAGTACATGTATTAGACAGACTCCTTGCATGTATAAATACTAGACAGGCCCCTAGTACATGAATAGATACAAGACAGGCCCCTAGTTCATGTATAAGTACATGTACTAGACAGACTCCTTGCATGTATAAATACTAGACAGGCCCCTAATATGCATAGATAGTAGACAGGCCCCTAGAACATGTAGAGATACTAGACAGGCCCCTAGCATGTATAAGTACTAGACAGGCCCCTAGTATGTATAAATAGTAGGCAGGCCCCTAGTACAT